ATTCCTTAGGCCATGTGAGATTATGTAACATCTTAGGTTACTATAGAACTGAAACTAGTGTTCCTGTGTGTGTTCCCATATGAGTTAGGCTTCTTTACAATTAGGTCAGGGGTTTGTGAGAATGTTATTTTGTATTTGGATTTTATCATACCTGTTTAAAGTTTTGTTACAATTAAGAATGTTGAAAGGAGAATGGCTTGTGGTTTATTTTGTAAATGTCATCAGAGAAATATGGCGTGACTGAAATTTAAGATCTTATATGTACTGTGTTAAAATGGATTATTTAATATATCTATGTATGTACTGGAGCCTGTGGATTAATGTAAAGTATGAGACACTGGGTTCTGATGTGAATTTCTTGAACATGACAATTGGCATAATTTCAATTTTGAGTTTAAAAAAAAGAAATGAAATGAATGATCAGGGTTATAAGGATTAGAAACAGTAATTTAAAATTGTGCTAAGATCACTTTTGTAGGAGAATGGACAGAAAGGTGGTTCCTACAAGAAGATAAGAAGAAGATGCTGAGATGCTGTGCTGAAGATGGCTGGAACAATACCAAGGACCAGAGGACTTCATTGATGAATGTTCCCTGCCAGACAGCTGTATAAGAAAAGACTTTTTGAATCTTAAAGGGACAATTGCATTATTATTGTTACCTTTTGGGTCTCTGTATCTGTATTATGAAGGGGCTGCCCCTTTGATTTGTCAATGCCTATATTTACTTAAAGGGGTGATAGCTGGAGAGAGGAAAGAGAGCTGAGAAGAATTTGAATTCAGATTTAATGTGAAAGGTGCTATCATAAGAATGGTAATTTCTATATGTGATTATATGGAAATGCAATTGATGTTAAGTTTATTGTTAGTATTACAAAAGTTATTACTGTTTCTAAATTGTATTGTGTTTCTAAAACACTTAGATTGTAACATTTGAAGGGAGTTATCCTACTCCTGCTGTGTCTCCCCTTTATGCAGGACTCTTTGTCCCATTTTGGTTAAGATAGAAGGGAAAGAAATCAGGCTGATGGTTCTGAAGAGTCAGGGTTGAGTGACAGTTTGAGACCACCCTGATGGTTACTAAGATTTGGTGGGATGTGAGGTCTTCAGATAGTATAGAACAAGAGGAGGGATTGAATGGGATGTCCCAGTGAAGACTTAGTGTAATTAAGGTAATGAGTTCAGAAGGTAGTGTGAGAAATGAACTCTCAGAAGTGAAGTTTCCTCAAAGGGTCAAATAATTCTTGATTACGACTTTCAAAATCCTCCCTCACTCAGACCCTGTTTTTAAGCACTTAACAGAAAGAATAAGCCTTGCCTCACCCCCAACCTGAGCTGTTTGCCCTTGGAGTCAGGCCTCTTTCCTTGTCTTTGAATTTCACACTTAGAATGTAAGCCCCACCTCCCGGTTAAGGGGATAGGAAGAAACTTTCCAGCTTGGAATGTAAGCCCCACCTCCCAGTTAGAATGTAAGCCCACCCCCAGTTAAGGGGGTAAGGGATAGTGGGTGGAGACTTCGCGTGGCGGATCTCTCTCTCTCTCCCCCCCCCCCCCCGCATGTATCGGAGGAGCAGATAGCCATCTCGGGAGACTGCAATAAAGGTAACCTTTGCTTTCCACCTTGAGAAGTCTCTGAGTTTAATTTGGGTTGGGGTTGCTGTCCCACACAAAGGCAATCTTTGCTTCCCCACTACCAATAACCCTTTGACTTGTTCAAAGAAGCTGGGGCATGATCAGGACTGCATAATCCTGCATATGGGGCCAGACACCAGGCCCGGAGATGGTGGATGATTTGCCACACTCTCCTTAACGAACACACTCATCCTTGAAGATAAAATGCTCTGTTCTCTCATAGCACAAGCCATTCTTCAATAAGTGTGGTATTGCTCACCCATACATCTCTGCTGTGATAAGATTCTATCTGGAGTGTTGGGTTCAGTTCTAGGTACTACATTTTGGAGGAACATTGAAAATTGGAGCTTGTCCAGAGGAGGGCAACCAGAATGAGAATATGGGAAGACAGTACCATGTGAGGATCTGCTAAAGAAGCTAGAGTGTTTAGCCTAGGGTCAATGAGAATTCACTTCAAGTGTTTGAAGGTTATAAGGTAGGAAATGGATTAGACTTTTTCTACATAGGTCCAGATGAAAGAATTAGAATCATCAAGGGAAGAAGATTATCAAGTGAAGTCATGTACGGAAAATGTTGTATAAATTGTAAAGATTATAAATGTTAGCCATTGTTGGAAGGGCAATTATGCATAGAGAAACAGTTCTCAAACTTTTTGGTCTCAGGATCCCTTTACATTCCTACAAATTTCAAAGGACCCCCAAAGAGCTTTTGTTTATGTGACTTATATCTATTGATATTTACCATATTATAAATTAAAACTGTTCAATTTTTAAAATATTTTACTTCATTAATCATAACAAGAAGTCCATTATGTATTAGCACAAATGATATTTTATGAAAAATATCTATATTTTGTAAAGCAAAAAAGTGAGGAGTGGCATTCTTTTATATATTTTTTACAAATCTCTTTAATGTCTGGCTTAATAGAAGATAGCTAGATTCTCCTATCGACTTTTGCATTCAACTTTTTTTTGTGTTTTGTTTTGGTTGAAGTATGTGAAGCAAATCCAACCTCGCACAGATAAGTAGCTGGAAAAGGGAAGCATATTTAATAGTCAATAACACCTTGGTATTATTATGGATATAGTTTTGACCTTGTGAACCCTCTGAAAAAGTCTTAAGGATTTCCTGGTGTGAGCACACCACACTTTGAGAACATCTAGTGTGGTGGAAAGTGTATTGAGCCCAAAGTCGGGAGATCTGGATTTAAATGGTTACCAGGGCTAGTGCAAATGTTTGCTTTGGCTCTGCCTACCAATGCTGCTATTGCCACTCTCTGTACTCCTCCTTGTTGTTACTATCACCAACTTGGGAGGTCTGCTGCTCAGGACACACTGCAGCCAGCCTCAATGCAGAAACCAAAGTCAGTTTTTATCATTCCCATGACTTTCTAGGACATTCACTGGGGACATTCTTTTCTCCTACTCTCTGGACTCTATCATACTTTACAGACAGAGCTAGGCTGAGTTGCAAAGCTGGCACCAGAGTTGGCCAAGAAAAATGTCAAGAGGATTTCCCTTTCCATTGACCATGTCTAGAGCCATATTGCCTAGAATGCAGATATCAATGTGTAGACCCACAGAGAAGCTACCTCCCAACACCACTGATGACAGAAACAGGGCCTTGCCATCCAGTTAAGGATGTTGGACCTGGATGTGCTGAGGGGTGAAGGCATACCTGTGACAACTAGCATGGTATTGATTTTTGGTCCAAATAAGAAATCAAGGCATCCTATCCTGTACCCAGCAACCTGAGCTTCAATTCAGAGTACTTGATTCCATTCGGCTGACAGCATAAAAGAAATTTGCTAGTATTCCTGTTTACTGGAAAGCTGGAGACAATGTTGTGGTGCTTCCTAAGTATTCCTTGGAAAGAAAGCTACTTCCTAAAGGAATGTCCACCAACCTGCTCACTTTAGGCAAGAAATCCCTAAACTACATTTCCCACTCTTAAGTTACTTCATCAATACAATGCTGGAAGAAAGCTTTGGACAGAAGGGATGTCTTCTGTCTTCTTAGAAGGCTTCTCATAACAATTGCTTTCTGATGTAATTAAAGCTCTACAAAGAACCTGTTAAACGAAAAGAGCAGTAAAAGCAGCCTGTGCTTCCTTTCTTGGTGCCTTTATCAGCATCCTCCCCATGTGGTTGAACCACCTTGGTGTTCTGCTGACTGTCTCTGGAATGGCCTATTTAGGATGTAAATTCTTGCTAGGCCCGTAGCAAGCACCGTCATTGGCCAAATAGTACTTTTGGCTTTGGGGAGAGGTTACTTAGGAGTTTTGCAGCAGTATAATTTCTTTAACTATGTCGAACAAATCATCTCTTTTTCTAATTACCCATGTGTGGGGGTGGGGGAGAGAGGACAATTGAACATGCCAAGTTTTGAGCTTCACCTGGAATCTTGGGCTTCCTAAGTTTGTGACCAATCATTTGTAATGCAGATGTTTCAGACAGTGGTTTTTCTTAGTATTGAGTTCTGAACACAGTTAGGAAAAACGTGGAAATTATATATCCTTTTGGCAGTTAGCTGGTAGGTAGAAGACAGCCTTAAAATATTTCATTATGTTGGGCAGAGAGCTTTCTAAGAATGGTACAATTATGGCTGAGGCCTCACAGTGACTGGCAATGAAGTATAGAATGGTAGAAGAGGGTTATGAGTGCTTTTTTTGAAAATTAAACTTTTTTTCAATGAACACAAATTGATTTTTCTCTTCTATTCACTCCTCCCACATTGGAAAAAAAAAGGAAAAGGAAAAAACCCTTTGTAACAACTGAGGAAAGGGACCTGGGGGTGAAATATTGCTCATGTTAGGGTTTTTTGATATATTAATTAATTTTGCAGTACTTTCGCCTCCTTTCTTTCCCTTTTAAAATTCTTTCTTATAAGGGATTCCGTATCATACCTAACTGTGTTTGTGTCTCTCCCTGTTAGCACTATACTTCATCTACACTTTATTTCCTCCAATGCCAGAAGTCTTTGCTCCTACTAACCACTGCTCCTAGTCTTTCCTTCTGGGCAGAAAGAAAAAGTCTAATCTCTCTCCCATATAAGAGACCTTCAAACATTTGAAGACAGCTTTCATGTCCCATCAGTCATCTCTGATCCAGTAAAGGAAGTGAAGGCAGGACATCTTAAGCATAGGTAGGGGTATTAGCAAAGGCACAGAGAGCCAGGTGAATGTAGAACACATCTGGGGACAGAGAGTCTACCAGTTTGTCTGGATGATTAGACTACTTGGAGCAATAGAAGATAAAATATTAAAGATAGAATGGCACCAGTTTGTAAAGGGCCTTGAAAGCAAGACATTTGATATCTACTCAGGAGGCAATAAAGAACCACTGACGATTTTCATTTTGACTCAGCAGGAATTTATTAGGTGCCTACTTTAGGCAAGGTAGAACTTTAAAAGGACCAAATTTATACCAAAGAAAGATTACCAAGGCAACGGTATAAATAATGATTAGAAAGGAGAAATGAGAGAAGGTAGAAAAAAAGTCAAGAAGCTATTGTAAGGGTCTAGATGGGTAGCAACAAGGGCCTGTACCTCATTGGTACAGGTGGTAGCAAAGGACGTAGAGAGAAAGGTGAAGATGGAAGAGATATTGGGGAGATAGCAATTGCCCAGACATAGAGAGGTGATGAAGAGAGAAGAGTCAATAATAACCACAAGGTTTTGAACATGGGAGCTTGGTGAATGGCAGTGCCACTGTGAGAAATAGTGAAATCTCAAGTAGGAGACATATCTGGACCTTCTCCAGACAACCCCAGCCCAGTTTCTTCAATGTCCTCTTCCCTCTATCCTCTATTTTCCTCCTCCCCAGCTTGCTGAGGCAAAGTGAGTCCCAGGTGATATATACAGGTCCCAGAATATTTTGGTATGACATTAAAACAAGATAAGCTAAGGAGAAAATTCCCTGTGGATGTTAGAGGGATGACTATCACCCTTATGTTGAGTTTGAGAGGAGCTGGGAGAATGCAGCAGAATTCCATCATGGAACTGGTCAGTCTCCGATGGTTTGGGGCCCTTCTTACAAATGAATTGGACCTCCTGGTCACAAGTCAAATCATTCCAGGACATCAGAGAGGACTTCACTAAAGTTACACAACGCTCATTTTCACCTCTGTCATTGGGTTCCCCCTTTATCCAGAACCTGATGAGAAAAGAGCACATAGCATACATTCTTCCTTTTTTTGCCTTTGGTCTCAGAACCAGGTCCAAGACGGGGAAGTAGCAGCCTAGATCCCAGGAGAACCTAGGTCTTTTGACCTCAAATTTTGTTCCCATTTAAGAACCATGTCTACTGAGGCTACAGTGAGAGCAGAAGATACCTCAAAAGAAATTTATCTTTGAGTCCACCAAACCTGCCAAAATCTACCCTGAGCTGGGATTACAATTCTCAGGCCTCCATGTTAAACACAAATACATACACGTATGTATACAGACACACACACACACACACACACACACACACACATACATAAAAAACAAGCTATAGACTGTCAGAAATGAAAAGCACTTTAAAACATTGAGTATAGAACTTCAGAGCTAAGAGGGATCATCTATTCAAAAACCTTAATTTTTGCAAATGAGGAAACAAAGGCCCAGAGATAGGATACTTGGCCAAGATCACAGACCCAGTGAGGGCTCTAGTTCTAGGCCTAATGCCCTTGTTTCCTGACTCACAGGTTGGAGCCCTGCCTTCTGAAAGCCTACAATACACTGGACAGGACAAGATGGGGTCACTTTTTCTCTGACCCTGCCTCCAGGGTCCAGGCATCTACCAGGGGCCATGAAAAAAGGAAAGGGCCAGGGAGAGAGCAGTCATGATTATGGACTCACCGAACATTTTCCTTCTCTATATATAGGGTTCCATCAACCCAGTGCCAGCTGCCAGAAGATCCTATTTTTGTCAGGCCAATCCAATAAGGAACTCCTTTGGCTACCTTATAAAGAAACTCCTACAAAATGAAAATGACAGAGAAGGTGCCGTTAACTGAGTGAGGGGAATTGGGGTTGAGTGAAAAGTAACATATTTCTTTGTGTTTATATATATGTCTGTGCCTCTGTGTCTATGCCTCCAAAGGGGATCTCCAGATAACATTTTTTTACACCACTTTAATGTATTTATCATTCCATATCTCAATTACCTTGTCTGTATCTTAATCCCTCTGCTATGCTGTGAGCTCTATGGAGGCAGAATGTTTATCTCACTTAAGCACAGGATCTCTTTTTGTACCCTGCCCAGGCTATATATGTATATTAGACTCCCTTAAAAACAGGATTCTCCCCCCTGCCCCTTGTTTCCTGGACCACTCAGTATCTTGGCACTAGAATCAAAGGTCCTTGAAAGATTTTTCCATTACACCCATGTTGGACCTGTAGGAAAGTTCTGGAGCCTCTTGGGGTGCTGGGAACCACTTGGGTATATGTATATGTGTTCACAAATTGATTGAATTCCCAAGGACCAGAGGGAAACAAAATTGGTCTCCAGAATTGCCCATGCTAAGGCTCTAACCTAGCATAGGACCCATAGGACCAGCACAGGACTTAGCATCTATTTCCTTTCCAGGTGACATATGCAGGTTCTTGTAGATCAAGGATCAGCCTGGCTCTTGGTCATGATGCTGACTCTGCTTTGTCACTGGACCAGAGCTCAGAAACTACAATTATCCCTTCCATATCACTGCGGTCCTGGGAGCACAGTACCCTGATGATCTGGAAATCCTCGTAAAATTTTTTGACCCTTCCTTTGTACCAGAGAAGTCTGAATTTCTTCTTTCCTTTTATAGGATGTTTACAGTACCTTACAGTAAAATTTGGTTTAGTATTCGATCATAGGCTCTGTGTTGTCTGCTGGCCTCTGAGTGTCCTCTGTGGCTTTTAAAAAACTCCCCCAAAAATTCCCATTTAATTTTTTATGCTAATGTGATATTCAAATACCACATTCAAATATCATAATCAAATATCAAAATATGATATTCAAAACTGCAATGGGGAAAGTCGTGATGTGGAAGGGATAACCATAGAGCCCAAAGTCCCCTTTATGATGAACACAGCTCCAGTTCTGAGATGGAGATTTGGTTGGAGGAATAAGAGGAAGACGAGGGGTAGGTGATCTGAGCAGCAGACTAGGGCATATAATTCTTTGGGGCAATGAGTCAATGAGGGACACTTTAGAGTAGAACTTATTACAAGTCCCCATATTATTAAATGTCAAAAAATCCTATTCTACAAGGCCTGTAAGTCAAATGGTCTATGTTACAGCAAAAGCTTAAAGCCTCCTGTGGTCAGAGACACCTAGGGCTTAATATTGTTATCTTGCTCAGGGCCTTCTCCTCAGCCCTAGCCCTGAGTCAGAAGGATCACTCCCCTGGATAGATGTTCCTATAAGTGCTCATGAGGAAAGGTCTGTTTTCCCAATGTGCGTAGATGAGACGTTTTCCCTTCCACTTCCCAGTACTCATAATAATCCCTTCTTCTATAGGAGTGTAGATTTTACAAAGCAGTTCTCTCACAACCCCTGGACTTGTCCCAGGTCACATAGCTAATAAGTTTTAGAGTCAGTATTCAAACTCAAATCTCCTGACTCTAAATGTAGCACTAATTTCCCTTACACCATACTACCTTTCATTATTCTCTGTGTTAAATATCCCTTTGGTCACCGACCTGTTCTGTTGCTGAAGTCACTGAGGTCAGATGAGAATCTTGAGTGGTACAGAACTGCTCGGCACTGTACCAAGACTTTTTCATGGTAGAAAAATAGTAAAAGTTCCCTCCAAAGAATTTCCAGTCTTGAGAGGCCATCTCCAGAATGTAACCTGTGGAACAAGGTTGAGGTGAAATATTTCATTGCCAGGAGCCCAGAATCTTAAGCCTTAAAGGCACCTCAGAAGACACTGAGTCTAACCCACATCTGGGCAGGAATGACCACTGAGATATGTCCAACAAGTACTCATCCCATATCCACTTGAAGATCTTCAGAGATGGGGAATTCACTACTCACAAGCAATGTTATCCTTATAGGGGCTGACCCAAGTGGTTCCCAGGACACCAAGAGGCTCTAAAACTTTCCCACAGGCCTGACATGGAGTAATGGAAAAATCTTTCAAGTGCCTTTGATTCTAGTGCCATAATACTGAGTGGTCCAGGAAGCAAGAGGAGGAATCTTCTTTCTAAGGGAGTCTAATATACTCACAGAATGTAAGGACTGGAAAGCTCCTAAGTTATCATCTAGTCCAGAGGTTCTTAGCATTTTTTGTGTATGATGGATCCCTTTGGCAATCTGATCAAGCCTATGGACCCTTTCTTGGGTTTATGTTTTAAAATGCATTTAAAAAGTTAGATTACAAGGGAAATCAATTACATTAAAATACAGCTATCAATTTTTTTAGACAAGCTCATGGATCTCAGATTAAGAATCCCTGATCTAATCTTATTTTCATAGGCTGAAAATGAGTCCAACAGAGGAGGACAGACTTTAGGGGATGGAAAATTGGGGAGAAATTTAAAAGAGGTTGAAGAAAACTCCAATTGAAGAAGGTTTAGAACTGAGAGAGGAGAAAAGTTTAAAGTTAAGTAGAAGGAAGTGAAGTAGAAGAACTGGAGGAACCAAAGAGGAGAAGAACATGAAGAGAACTAGGAAGCTGACAAGACAAGTTAGCAAAATAAAGTTAATAAAAAGGAAGTTGGATGTGGTGACCACGTCATTGGAGTGAGGAGTCAGCAGGTGCTAATGGGGAGAGAAGAAAGAGTTTTAGAGCTGTAGATGCCCTCAAGCAGGTGGCCACCATGTTCCAATGGGGGAAAAATGGTGGAAAGAAATGAGGATATCATTTCCAGAAAGTTTGGAGAGCAAGGTGAATTTTGCAGTGCCCTGTAATGAGTATGTGATGTTTGTATTTCTTACTTATCCACAAAGAACAGGCTGGTCTCCCTCCTAGAAAATAAGGTCAAGATTCTCAAAGAATGTTTCTGCCTTCTCCAGGTTATCAAGGAGAATGAAGATCTGTTTAAAAGTGGGAGAGGGGAAAGAGGATTGAATGGGAAAACAAAGAAGAAAAAAAGATCTGGAAAGGCAGAGGGAAGTTGTGAACTGTGTCAGGAAATTGGAGAGTGGAAGAACAGGGCACAGAGCAGAAATTCAAGAAGGACCACTGAACACTTGGAGCTAAACAACAGATAGGGGCATCTTCCCCAAAAAGAGAGGGCTGAATCCTTGAGAAGGAAGAAGCTGCTGTTCTCCCTTAAGGGAATGGTGACTAAAAGCTCCAGGAGTTGACAAGTGAAAGACAATCCCATCAGGGTCAAAGGAAGAAGAGACAAAGAGTGGTGGTTGGTGACACCCTACTGAAGGCTACTGAAGTGGTTTTTTGCTCACCTGATAATAAGAAGAGAGGTCTACCATCTTGTTGGAGCAGGTATCCAAGATGTAATAGAGAACCTCCCAAGACTCATTAGACCTGATGAGTATTATGGTGATTGACAACCACTTGTGGTGATTGACATGGATACAAATGATACCACCAGAAGGAATCTAGAAAATGGAGGTCTGCTCTACAGTCAAGCAACACTGGCCTTCTTGCTATTCTCACACAAGACACTCTGTCTTCCAACCGCACGCCTTTGTGTTGGCTTTCCCTCATTCCTGGAATGCTCTCCCTCTTCACCTCCTCCTCCTCTTGGCTTCCCTTGCTTCCTTCAATACCCAGCCCAGTCCACCGTATCACACACACACACACACACACACACACACACACACACACACACACACCCATGCTTCACCAGTGCCTTCCCTCTGAGATTACTTCTAAATCCATAGTTGTTTGCATGTTGTCTTCCCAACTAGAATGTGAGCTCCTTGAGAGCAGAGACATTATTTTGCCTTTCCTTGTATCCCTAGCACTTACCACAGCACCTGGCACTTAGTAAGTTTTTAATAAATGTTTATTGACTGATAGACTGACCTTGAAGATCTAAGTAGTGCCTTTATTACTGTTGGTGATCAAAGGCAAGACTTTCTTTTCCAAGGAAAAAGGCAGATAGAAGAAAATGAACAGCGAGTTAAAAAGATCATATCTGAGAATGGGATTTAGGTTTCTGGGCAATGGCTTAGAATACAGGAGAGCATGTTCCTGGACAGGGATGAAATGCACTTAACAAGAGCTGAAAAAAATGTTTTTTCTTGGCATTTTGCAAATCTAATCAAAAGGGCTTTAATTTGAAAAGGAAGAGGGTCCAAGGAGGACACTACCTCCATAAACCCACTAAGCTGGATAGGAGGTACAGTGTGGGATGAAGAATCGCAAGAGAGACCCTCAGTAATTCACAAGACTAAAAATCCAAGAAAAGAACCACTGATAAAATTCATGGCCTCAAATACACAAATAACAGGCAACAAAGCAGTTGAAGTAGATAAAGAACCTAGTGCAGGGAGGCAAATATGATCCCATGTTTATCACTGAACTTTGGTGCAATGAAACCTTTGACTGGAATATGAGTCTAGGAGAGTATGCTTTATTCAAAACGAATAGGATAGGTAAGAATTCCAAGAGCCAGAGGGGTGGAGCGGTGGGGAAGCATGTTGGAGGAAATCTAGGTGAAGACCAGCTGTGGCAAGAATAAAAGTACTTTTGTCATTAGAATCTTCTACAGACTACCCGGACAGATAAAAGAAATAGATGATGCATTCCAGAAACAGATCACAAATCTGGCACAAATCTGATACATGGGAGACTTCAATTATCCTGTCATCTGCCTTAATAATCTGATCTTTCAAAAGATGGACAAATGACTAACAGGAACTTCTATTCTTTTTATCTCATTCTCTGAACAAGAAGGAACAAATTACTGGGGTGGAAATGACCTGAGGAGAAATGACCACTCTGTATTGGAATTTGTGCTAAAGATTAAGAGAAAAGTTGATATAGTCCCACATTCACTATAAGAAGAGCACATCTCAAAGGGTTCAGAGAAAACATAGTTAAGCATCCTGTGACCTAAATTCTATAATAGAAGTCATCTCAGAAAGGATGAGAAGTTCTCAAAAATGAAATTCTGAAAATATGGAGGGACAATTCTGATGGGATGGAAAAGGAAGGCTTGCCTAAAGAGAACTTTGTACATGCATCATTAACCAACTAAGTTTGAAAAAAATACATGAGCAGAAGAAGGAAAGAGGGGGCTCAAAGAAAGGCTAGGACCACTACTTGTAATGAGTGGATGGGGTGATGATAACTAATTACAGAGAGAAGACAGAGTTTCCCAACTCATTTTATTTCTATTTTTCCTACCAAAGAAAATTATCTTTGGACTGGAAAGGACAGAACAAAAATGGCTAATAGGAAGTTGATACTCAAGAAAAAAGCACTATGTAAATGCTAGCTATTATTATTATTTTACAGATGAAGAAATTGAGGCCCAGAGACAAGTTGACTTGCCTAGGGTCATTCGGCTGGTGAGTAGCTAAGACAAGATTCACATCCAAGTCTTGCTGATTCCAAGGCCAATGCATAATTTGCTGATCCTGCTATATTCTGCCTTGGCCAATCAAATGATATCAGAGTATTATGTTTGATTGTGGGCACCAAATTTTAGGAAAAACCTTGAAAACTGAAAAGTATTGAGAAAAAGGCAACTAGGATAGTGAGGGACCTTGAGAATTGTCCTTTGAGGATTGGTTGAAGAAGCTGGGGAAGGTTCTCTGGAGAAGACAAGACTTCAGTATCTGAAAGGTTGATGCATTGACTATTGCTTGCCTTCTCAATGGGGGGGGGAAGGTAAGAAGAAGGAGAATTTGGAACTCAAAGTTTTAAAAACAAATGTTAAAAATTGTTTTTACATGTAACTGGGGAAATAAAATACTAACTATACAGAAAGAAAACAGAGGTTGATTCATGGACTTTTTCTTGTGGGGGGGTAATTTAGGAGCGTGGAATAAGAAGCAATGGGTAGAAATAGAAAATGGGCAAATTTAGGCTTGATATGAAGAAAATTTTCCTAAGATTTAAAGCTATCTGAAAGTGTAATGGGCTGCCTTAGGAGCTAGAGGGGTCTCTCATCACAGGTCATGGGATTATAGATATAGAGGTGGCCTTCCAACCCCTTCATTGTATGAGAAAATTGAGGCCCAGAGAGGTTAAGTGACTTGCTCATGGTCACATAGATAGTAAAGGACTGAAACAGGAACTGAACCCAGGTCCTTTGACTCCAAATTCAAGGCTTGTTAGGAGATTTTGTTTAGGTGTGAATTGGGCTGGACTACCTCTGAGGTTCTTTCCACCACTGAGATTCTGTGATGCTGGGACCTGCTCAAGCTCACACAGCAAAGCCAGTGGCAGAGCTCAGATCTTGAGACTAGAAGAAGGGGGATGTTGTACTTGGCTCTCGATGTAGACAGCAAGTGATAGCCAGTGCTCCCCCTGATAATGTGACCTGGTATAAAACAGCCAGGGCTGGTAAAGACCAGACAAGTTTTCCAGTGACTTTCATCTTTAAAGTCACAGCCCAGAAGCCGTTTTTTTTCTTCTACAGGGCCTCTCCATCTGAAGGATCCTGGAGCCTTCCCCAACCCCTTCCCCCCTCCACGTGGGGAGGTCTCTTTCCCCATGGCAGGGCTCTCTATCCCCTCTGTATACATCCCCTTTCTCTATCCCAGGAACTGCTGCCTGAGTTCTGCTGGCCTGAGACCCAACCTCCCCAGTCTCCTTAGCATCTGAAGCTTCAGGAGCAGCATCTCCCACTCAGTCCTCCCCCACAGACACCTCACTCACGCTGCTGTGCCAGTGATGCCCCCAGGGTCTGCAGATCTTTCCTGAGCTGCTCAACCTTGGCATTTAGCTCCCCAGTTTTCTTCAAATCCTGTTTCAGCATCGGAATCTGGGCATTTAAAGCCTCAAGCTCTTCCCAACTGCTCGTTAATGCTTGAAGCTGAGCAGTGTCCTGCTTCAACATGGCACTTAACAGCTGCATCTGAACTTCCGAATACCCCAGGCTGTGATTTAGCATCTGGACCTGTGTACGGGAATCCTCCAACTTGTTTCTCAACTTCTTGATCTCAGAACTGAGAAAGACACTGGTGTTCTCTGCACGGCCTTTGAGCATGTCGACAGAGATCTTGACATCATCTATCCTTCCCAGTAACTGAGGATCTGAGGAGGAGGAAAGTGCAAGGTCAGCTGGAGGATTGAACCATCTATTCCAACCCCTTCATTCTACAGATGAGGAAACTGAGGCTCAGAGAGACTCATTGACTTGGCCAGAGCCACACAGGCAGTGTCCAAAGTGGGATTTGCACCCAGCTCCTCTGACCTCAGAAAGCGCTTTTTTTTTTTCATTGTACTCCACTTACGCTGGATATGGTAGAAAGGCTCGTACAAAGGAACAGCTAATAGTGGGGATGATAAGAGGAGGGCCAGCAGGGGGTCATAGACAAGTCCTCAAATGCAGAGAGGTAGGACCAGGGGAGTATCTAGGGAGCCATGAGAATGGGGTGCAGGACACAGACATGAGATAGGAACCAAAGATACGGGTACACAAAAATAGTGAAAGAGCCATAGAGACGGGGAGGCAAGGGACTGGGGGCAGAATCTGGAGGAAAAGGGAAAAGGGAAACTATGGGAATTTGGAGCCAGAGTCACTTAACCTCTCTGGGCCTCAGTTTCCTCATCTGTAAAATGAGAGGTGGGACTGGATGTCCCTTCTAGCTCTGGATCTTACTGTCTGTTTTGCAGTGGGAGGTCAGACCCTTGAGAAGACCTGGGAAAGGAGTCTGAAGGAAGAGGAGGAGGAGATGCAGACAAAGAAGAAAGAGAAATAGGTCTGGGAAAGGGTAGCCATCAAGAACAGAGCAGTAACTTCATCTGTGAGCATGCAAGATAGAAGCTCTCCCCCTCCCGAAAGCTGGGGAAAGGCCAAGAATGGGGAAACTCAAAGCCATTAACTTACAGAGAATGATCATTGCCAGGAAGAAAACAACTAGGCCCACTGCCAAGAGAATAATAGCTACATAGACAGAGGGCAAGGTCCTCAGGGCTGCAGGTGACTCCTTCTTTGGAGAAGGGTCTGTTGGGAGAAGAAAAAAAAAGAAAGCAAGTCTGTGGAAGAGCCAGGCCCAAATATATGTTAGTCAATCAATGAGCATTTACTAAATGTTTTCTGTGTGTCAGGCACTATGCTAGTTTCTGGGGTTACAAATGCAATGAATGAAAAGATCCTTCTTTTCAAGGAGCTGGCATTCTGGGGCAGCTAGGTGGTATGGTGGGTAGAGTTCAAATCCAGCTTTAGATACATACTAGCTATATGACCTTAGACAAGTCACTTAACCCTGATTGCCTTAAAAAAAGAAGCAGCTGGTATTGTACTGGGAGATTAGTTGTCTTTCTTTATATATAGTAAGCACTTAATACCTTCTTAACTGATTGAGCAAAAGCACATCTGTAAGATTACCTTATTCTATTATTTCTGTATTCCACATATGTATTTCTATGTTTTATATATATATATTCCATATATTATCTATATTCAGAATACACAGAATAAATGCAAATATATATACAAGTTAACTGGGGAAGATGGTCAAATACAGGAATGGGCAAGAAAGAGGGAATGAGGAGGGCTCAGGAGAACAGAGCAGAGTCACCTGGACTCACCTCGGGGCCAGAGGGAGATGTCCTGGTTGTCCACGGTGAAATGGGCCACTTGGACTTCCTTTTTATTTTCCTTCATCCTGGCCTGGGCCACACAGTGTCCTCTGTCCTTGCTCAGTCACCACTCACAATGGCTGCTTTGAGGGCATCTTTATCTAGAAATAGAAGTGGGAAGTGGCTTCATAAGATACACTGCCCACCTCAATCCCAGAAGTCCACATTACATTCACAAGACCAGGTCTACACCACAACTCCACCCTTTGCATCTAGACCAGGACCTCAGCGACGTCAGCATGAACCTTTTGTCATCCATCTAACCAAGACTCCGTCATAGAAAGAGTCCCTAAATCCTATCCCTATCTACCTTTCTCTTCTCTATCTTCCTTCAGAAGGCTGCTCAGAGTCTTTTTTGTAGCAGTAAAAAAAAAAATGGCAACTCAGGGAATGCCCAGCTATTGGAGTATGGCTGCACAAATTATGGTATGGGAATGGAAAATGATTATGCCATAAGAAATTGTGAAATATATGGTCTAAGAAAAAGGACTAGGAAGATCTGCATGAACTGGTGGGTAATAAACTGAAAAGAGCCAAAAAATAATTTGTATAATAACTATTATTAACAAAACTTTGAAAGAGATGAGAACTCTGATCCATGTACTGACAAGCTATAATTCTAGAGGACCATAGATGAAGCACCATCTCTTGACAGAGAGGAGATAGACTCAAAATATAGAATGTTTTTGGACATGGCCAATGAGGGAATTTGCTTTGCTTGACTTTGAATGTTTGTTGTGGGGGTTTTGTGTTTTTTTTCTTTTTTTCTTTCTTTTTATTTTGTTCAATGGGGGGGTGAGAGGAGGAGAATATAAATGCTTGTTAATTAGGGAAAAAATTAATTTAAAGGCTTCTCAGATTCATATTCCCTATGCTTGTTCCCAGCTAACCTTTCCCACCCTACCACCTTCCTAAGCAGCTCTTCTCTCTCACCTCTACATTCATCAATATCCTCTAGGGGAAGATGTCTCAAAGATAAATATAGACCTAGAAGGGACCTTAGAGCTCATCTAATTCTATGTTCCCACGTTATAAGTGAAGAAACGGAGGCCTAGATGAGGTTAAGGGGCTTGCCCAAAGACATTCAGGAATTAATTAAGAGAGCCAGGATTTGATTTTTTGACTCCACATTTAAGACTCTCTGCTATTCCATGCTGCCTCTCTGTTTATATACTTCCATCTTATGTCTAAAAGCAATGTGGACATGGAAATAGAAGTAGATTTCCATTTGACCTAGCCTCCCTGAGGGTAGGTTATGTCTGACTCTCTGATTGGATTCACCAAAGGTGAGTGTGTCGACAGTCATACTAGGGACTGCCAGAACATGGGAGCTCTGTGTCCCTACATTAAAGCAGTGCATTTTTTCTATCTTTTCACCCAGTATCTAATACAAAGTTCCACCTTCATTAGTTGCTCAAGACAGAGGAGACAAATAGAGAACTTCAAGTCTCCTTTGAGCTGAATGAAGGACTGATTTCCCCAGACAGCTTCTCATGCTGTTGTCCAAGGTGTGTATAGAAAAATGGGAGATAAGGGCAGCTGGGTGGTGCAGTGGATAGAGCTCTGGCCTTGGAGTCAGGAGGACCTGAGTTCAAATCTGGCCTCAGACACTTGACACTTACTAGCTGTGTGACCCTGGGCAAGTCACTTAATCCCAATTGCCTCACCAAAAAGCAAAAAAAAAAAAAAAGAAAGAAAGGAAGAAAGAAAGAAAGAGGAGATGGAGGAGTATGTCTTGGGAGTAGTTGCTCTGACAGCTGCCTTTAAACTGAAGTAACTCAGACCCCTGCGTGAGCCTGACTGGATCAGATGGACTTAAAGGGTTACTGTTGGTCTTTAATAATGCCTCTCCACAGTCAGTGTTATTTGGTAAGGACACTTGAAGAGGAAGCCTAATGGAATGTTCAAGACCACCACACCTCTAGACTTAAGGTCAAAAGACATGAGTTCAAATCCTGGCTTTATCACTTGTTACCTGTCTAATTTTAGACTGGTCACCTCATCTCTCCAGGCCTCAGTTTATCTATAAAATGAGTCAGTTGGACAAATTTTCTCTAAGTTTCTTTTTTAGTCTTAATAATTTATATTTCCATTATTCCAGACCAGAGTGATTAGACCACACCCCAAAGTAGCCAGCCACCAGTGGAAAGCTGAGTGAATAAGCCCTGGCCCTGACTCTGCTACAGCTCTCCATTTTTCTTGTTTAATCCTTCCATGCTTTGGACCTGTACTGATTTCCTGGATTATTTTTAGATTGTTTCTCCTACTTTCGCAGACTGAACTCCTCAGTAAAATATCCTGCTTTGAACTCAGCCACCACCTTGATGCTTCCCCCATATAAAAACTATGTTTATTCGTTGCTGTAGCCCTGAACTTGCCTGAAGCAGGACAGAGACTCTGAGAAGCACCAAGGTCCGGCTTCCTCCTTCAACCTGGGACTTTTTGCTTAGGTTCCTGATCCCTGAAGCCCAAAATGTCTCCTTGTTTTAACTTTAGATACCCTGCTGATGTTTCTAGCCTTTCCTTGCTCTGGCTTGTATTCATTGGGTGCCCACCTGGCCCACCAGGTTCACTTTGACCTCAGTGTTTGTGTGAATATGTGTGCTCATAAGAGTATGAGTCTCAATACAGAAATAAATTGCCCAGTTTCAGGGAGAAACTGCCTTTCCTTCCCCATTCACTCCTTCCTTCATTCATCATTTATTCAGCTGCTATTACATGCATCCTCTTGGGATCCCTACTTGGAGAAGGATATAGAAGAGGAGAATAAGAAGGCAGAGGGGAGGCTTGTAGGAGGATGTAGAACTAGAAGCAATTTTAAACATCCCCTACCTAGCCTACTCCCCTCACTTTAGAGATGAGGAAAATGGGGCCCAGAGAAGAAAGGTGAGTTTCCTAAGATCACATAAATAATAAATATCAAAACTGGAATTTCAAACCAGGTCCTCCAGATCAAAATCCACTGCTTTCCCCATTATATGAGAAGGAAGAAAAAAAAGATAGAAAGAAAAATAAGAAGACTCGCATTCCTTTACAATTTACAAATCTATGACCAGGTTGAGTTTATTTCAAGAAAAGAGGGATAGTTCAATATTAGAACAACTATAAACATAACTGATCGTATTAATAATAAAAACAATAGTCACATGATTTTATCAATAGATGGGGAAAAGCCTTTGACAAAATGTAGCATGCATTTTAAAAAACAATAAAAATCATCGAAATAAATATAACTTTCCAATTATGATAAGCAGTATTTTTCTAAAGCCAAGAACTATCACTATTTTTGACACTAATATCTTTCCAGGAAGATGGAAGTAAATTTTTAAAATGCCCATTTTTACCACTATTGTTTGATATCATCCTAAAAATGCTAACTATGGTAATAATACAAGAAAAGAGGTTTTAAAAATACGCTGAGAGAAGGAAAATTATCTCTATTTTCAGATGACATGATAATTTTTAAGCAAATCCCAGAAATTCTATGAAAAAATAATCAGAACAGGTGGAGTAAAAAGGTAGTCGCTCTCACCCTCCCCTATCAACCTTTGAAAACCCAGAAAATATTACCCCAGAAAAAAACCTGCTGGAACAGCTAAAGTAGAAGAAAGACAAGGAACAGCAGTGCAGCAGCCCAGCAAAGGCGTCTCCCAGTGCCTCAGCAAAAATAAGCAAATGAGCACTGCAAAGGGCCCCAGGTGGATAAGCACCCAGCAGCATTCGTCTGAAAGGAGCTGAAGAAAGCAACCTAAAGTCTTCCTAAAGTCTGAGCCTTGCTGATTCCAGCCCAACACCAGGTAAGCTGTCAGAACTTTAACTGTCAACCAGGAAGAGATCCTGAAGCCCAGGTGGTAGAGCAGGCAAACACCAACACCTGGACCTCCGAGTGCCTCAGTGGGGGGTGTGGGGGAACCAGTGGAAACCAGCTCAGAAAACCATCAGGTGCCTAGGCACTCTACCACAAAGGAATCTCCCAGTGCATTAGCAGAAATGAGGGATACAACACTGCAAGGGGTCCCAGGCAGATAAACACCCTGCAACATGCATCTAAAAGGAGCTGAAGAAAGCTAAAGGAAGGGAAAAGCAGTCAACCTAGAATTGCCTGAAAGTTCCAGCCTTGTTGATTCTAGCCACAACTCTACAGCCTCCAATTGCCAACATAAGAGGCCCCAGCACACAAAGCCAGTGACCAAGACCTAGGCTCCCAACACAAAAAGATTCTAGACAGTATCTTTCAGGAAATCATAAAGGAAAACTGCCCTGAAGTCCTAGAACCAGAAGGTAAAATAACTATAGAAAGAATCCACTGCTCACCACCTCAAAGAGATCCCAAATTGACAACGCCAAGGAATATAATAGCAAAATTCCAAAATTACCAGATGAAAGAGAAGGTGCTGCAAGCAGCCAGAAAGAAACAATTTAAATATCATGGAACCACAGTCAGGATTACACAGGACCTTGCAGCTTCTACATTAAAAGACCACAGGGTGTGGAACATGATATTCCATAAGGCAAAGGAGCTTGGATTAAAGCCAAGGATCAACTACCCTGCAAAAATGAGCATGATTTTTCAAGGGAGGAAATGGATATTCAACAAAATAGGGGACTTCCAAGCCTTCCTGATAAAAAGACCAGAGCTCAACAAAAAATTTGATCTTCAAGTACAAGATTCAAGAAAGACATGAAAAGGTAAATGGGACAGAAAGATACAATATGTTGTTAATAAGGGTGGACTGTTTACATCCCTACAAGGGAAGATGACACTTGCATCTCTTGAGAACTGTATTGTTATTATGCCATTTTAAAGGAGTATACATAAAGGGGGTGGATATTAGTTGACTTTGATGTAATGATAAAAAAAATCTAATCAAGTGGGTTAAATGGATCCAAGTAAGTGGATTAGTCTGATCTTAGAAAATGTACTGAGAAAGGAGGAGGCAGACAAGGGTAAATTACATTACAGGAAAAGACAGAGAATCCTGTTACAGGAGAAGGAAAGAAGGGAGAGGGGTGAGCATTGTTTGAACCTTA